TCCTCAGAAAATCCTTTCCAAATTGTATTCATCTTGACTTAATCCATGATCTACTGAGTGAATTAGGCTCTATTTGTTTTGAAAATCTATTTTATGGAGTTCCAAGGGCTGTGTTTTCCTTAGGAAGGGCTTATTCTGCCTTTCTGCCCAGGATGCCTGCTAGCAGCCCTCAGCACTGGCCTCTGCAGGTTTTGAACGTCCCAAGGTGCCCCACACATATGACTAACAAAATGTAAATAAACACAGCTGAGCCAGTAAGAAATTGGAAGGTTTTCTCATTAAAGAAATAAAATAAACAGATGTCCTTAAGCACTTTGGCTCATGTTTGTCAAAGGAATGGAAAACTCTCAGATGTTTGAACAGCAGTCATGATATAAGGCCACATCTCAAGCGAGAGAAGAGGAAAAAAAGCGATGCCCTGGCACTTAGAATTAACTAATAGTTCTCAAGGGAGGCCCCTTTTGATTTGAACCTTAGCAACTTCTACAAATAGTTTTTAACAGCCGAGCAATAAAATGGGGTTTTATTCCTTCTCAGTTTGTAAAGTAGTAAAGGACAGACTCGGCCATTAGGAGCATGAATCACCAGCAGATTTGATTAAATCCCCATGGTGTTTCAATCAGGTCCTGGCTTTAGGGTCCTGTGAGAGAACAAAGCAGGGGAAAGCACAAGCTACTTGAAGCATTCAGTGAAAGCAGGGAAGGGGAAAAAAAAAGAAATTAAAAAATCAAACCTAGGGTTTTACAAGGATCTCGAGTAGAGCCAAGGAGGAACTTTTCAATGAGGTTTTTTTTTTTTAAATTGGAAATTATAATTCATTTAAAGGAAAACTTTTTATAAGAACATGTAACAGCCAGTGAAACTTTTGAGGAATAAGGTTTCTTAGATCCACAAGAGAACAAGGCAGTCCAGTTCACAGCCAGCATAGAGCAGCTATAACATTTGTTTCAAAGCTAGAAAATCAGATTTATGTCCTGTCCTCAACTGGGCCAAGCAGAAACTTTTGCTACTCTGCCCAAAAGGTCCTGCTATGACTGGGGGACCCTGTCGTGGGTCACTGCCAGTCTCTCATCAGAGAGGCCAAGCCCATGTTTGCACAGGCTGCAGAGCTGAGTGCATGTCCTGTCTCACCCACACCTGTCTCCTTACGGCTTCACTAAACCTCGTGTTGCCACTTCTGACACACAAAAGCGTTCAAAAATGTGGCTGTCCCAGAAAAGCAGCCTCTGCTTCAAGCAGGCAGCTCCGAGGCACAGTGCAAGCCCTCCCTGAATGCAGAGCCAGCTCACAGCCCCAGCTCCCAGGGACACTCACCCTGTGAAAACCTTCCACTGAAAGCTAACCATGACCTGGCATGACTGATTTAAAACCAGGGCGTTATGTGCTTTACAGATTTCTGCAGTATGTTTTTTGCTTAATTTGAGCTAATTCCAAATGCTGAACAATCTCAGAAATTGTACAGCTCTTGCAGGGAATTTTATAGAGCTGAACTCCGAGGTATCAGCAGACACTGTCAAAATCCTGATAAAGATCCAACACAATTCAAGAATTTAGACTGTTTTATGTATTCAAATCCCTAAGTCCAGACTAAAATAAAATCCTTGTCATTTGATTCCAGGATTTTGGAGTATCTTGCATATAAAGCTGAATTTTAACTCCAGTTTTTACTTTACTCAATTGATCACTTCAATCCCATGAAGTGATGCAACACAGAACAAGAGTACACATTCTTGGAACAATACAAAATACTAAGAAAAGGTATTGGCTTCACAGAGCTCCCTCAAGTTAAGGAAAACAATACACCCATTGCTCCCTTTTTTTCTTGATATCAGTCCTTTGAAAAGCATGAGAATGAAACTGCAGTAAGATACTTGGAACAAAAATTTCTGCATCTCTTTCAGTCTGAGAAATTTTAAGGCTTAAACAACACAGGTTATGGAACAAGCTTGCAGATATCCCAACTGGGGAAAGAGGAACAGAGTCATGATTATTTTTGGCACAGGACTGCATGAAATCTCCTCATATTGTTTCTGAATTACTACCACCAAACGAGTCTGTCTGTGCTCGCCTTGCTGTGTCAAACAAGTCCCTTGCCTCTGCCCCACCTCCTGGGAAAGCCCAGCAGCACTGCTATGGATTTTTGAGCCATTTTCCCCCACTATGTTTAATCAATGATTTTTGGGGACAAATCTTTGCTGACAAGGCAAAGCCTGCAGCCTTCTCCCTGTGGAGCAGGAGCTCTATCACACACACCCCTAAGGGGTGAAAAAGGCTGGATGGACACCACAGTAAGCCACAAGAGATTACATCTGCTGTGGTTCTGTAGGCACATGGTAAATATTCTGCACCCATACAGTGACCATAAACCTGCAGAACTGGTTTTATAAACTCTCCTGAACATAATATTCATGGTCACCTGCCTCTGCAGCTTTTGGGGGCTGCCTTTTCTTGTCATCCTATGGCAAAGACATTAACACCAAATTTCTGATGGCTCTGCAACCCATGGGCTACAGCAAAGGGTTTGGGAGGAGAGGACAGAAAAGGAGCAGCCTAGGCTGGGCTATTCATTCATGCTTCAACTTTCAGTAAATTTTGGGTTTTAACTGCTCTTGATGCTGTGGGCAAAGTATTTTTGAGATTAACTCTCAATGCCTTGAGGAGGCCATGTCTATGTTAAGAGCTACAGAGAAGACAAAGAGAATTTTCACATGAAGTCAGGTCAGAAAATATGCATTGAAGCATTAACCATCAATAACATAACTTTTTGTGAGTTCTTTCTCCTCTTTTTTTTCTTTTCCTCATTTTTGGACATCCCTGTTGTGCCATCACCAAGGAAGGTGTCAACACACACAACCATTTGTGATTAAGTAGCTAAAGAACACAGGAATTTAGACCCAAATCTCTAAAGCTGTGGTTGATGTTCCTCCTCCCATCTTTCAAGAACAATCACCCCAGAAAGGGGTGTTATTCTTCAGCTTGAACAACTTTACAGACTAATTCTTTGAGCACCTGCAGCTCCACCAGTGCAACAGAGAGGATGATACTGGGAGATAAATGTTGGCCAGGGTCAGGATCACATAAACTGACACTTTTCTGGAGGAAGACATAGTGACCAAGATCTCCATGTGTGAGATTTCATTATAAGCATATGCATGTCTAATTACAGGCATGTGAATTTTTAATGGAGAATTTTGGGTTTGATACATGATTTACTTTGAGATTAACATTTCCTACACTACTGAAGTAAGAGATTCTGAAACTCTTAACCTCTGGCTGCTTCACTTGTACTTGACAGTTTTGAATTGTGCTACTCTTTGACAGTTCCCAGGACAGCCTGTCTGAGTGTGCTGTATTTCCCTCTTGGTTTAAGGTCTGTTCCAAAGCCCACCAAAGCCTCTGCTTGTCTTTGGATCAAGCCAGCAGCCTACAATAGTTTTATAACACAACCTTTCCCTCACAGGAGAGTCCTGAGGAATTTAATACTGATGAAACGAATTAAGAACTGCAAAGAAAAAACTCTTTCTAGAGAAGTTTCTCAAGGAACCCATCGTAACTTAATAGAAAAGGTGATTCATTCTTTCAAAAAGATATTCCTGTTTATATCATTCTCTAAATTAGTGTAAAGGAAACAGCCAACAGAAGCCCCCACAGAGCAGATTCCAACTCTACACCCTCTAAAGGTGTGCAGGAGGCAGCAGGTGAAGGCATCTGCTTCAGAGGTTCTGTGCTAGGACTGAGTCAGCCCATTAAGGGAATTCTCCACAGGAATACAGCAGCCCCTACCCAAGGCTGAGCTCAACCACAGAGCAGATCTGCACAGCCTAAGTTTGTTTCCTGATCCTGCCTAATTCCTTCTGGTGTTTGTAGGCAGTAGGTCTGAGCTTACACAAGTACACCTCGTTCATTATGTTCTCTGGGAAAAGTAACCACTTCAATTACCTTGTACAACACGGGTCTGGTAAATCCCTGCTTGGAAACACGGGCTTGGTTTTCAGAGGGTGCTGTTAGAAGTGTTAGCAGCATTCCAAGTGCTGCAGTAGACTTCCACACCACAAACACCATTTTATATCCTTTACAACTGTGCACATCTAACAGTGAACAATAAATCTATCTTACTAATTACACATTCAGCTTGTTATAACCATCGTAAAAAAGTACAGCTGGTAAAGCCATGAAATGATGTCAAATCATATTTCTGCCTTCTGGAGAGAAGTTGGGTTATTTTCCAGTCTCCTGATGAAGCTGAGTGCTTGAAGCCATGTGTGGAAACAGCTGCCAACTAGGTCATCCACCTTTAATTAGGTAATGATATTGTCTTTTTTCCTACCCATTTAAAAGTGTTTGACATTCTGTAATTCAAAGTGACTCAGGTGTTTATCATAAAAAGCTGCCTTAGGAAGAAATTGCAGCACGTGGTACTAAATCCAAAAGCCAGTGTGTTCTCCTTAGCAGCCAAGTTCAGGCTGTTCAGCCACAGTTATCTAAAAAAATGGAATTGCCTGCATTTGAAAGAGGGTATCTAAAGAAATATGTTTCTGAAACCCCCTTAGAAATGTGAGTTTTGGCAGCTATGTGGGAAGCACAGCCAGCTCTTCATGGCAACCTAGACTGAGGAACACAAAATCTCTCTTAAAAAATTGTCTGAGATTCATAAGAAAACACTGGTCTAACAAAAAAAGTGTTAGCTGATTCGGGCTGGAGTTAATGGGCTCTGGCTGCTGGCTGCTCTCTCCTGCAGAAGACAGACACTGGAAGAACATCCCAGCAAGTGGCAGCTGAACAGCACAAGCTTTGGAAAAACAAGGGTCTTACTTGCAACACGAAAGGGAGGTAAATTAAATTCTCACATGTTCAGAGGAAATACCACAGGCCACGTTTATACAAATATGTCTGAATAAACCAGGCAGCATCTGCTTGAAAAGCTGTCTCATTAGCTGCCCCCACAGTTCCCGACACAATTTGGCTGGACAAGCAGTAATGCTAAAAAAATTAAATTTTACCTTCCCATATCTGGATGCAAAGGTTCCCGTGAGTAAGGAGTGAAAAATAATTATCGTCTCATCCAAATCCCACACAAACACACGCTGTGATGACAGATGGGGTGGAAAAAAGAAATATAGTTACACATTAAGCAACTGCAAGAACAGGTTCAGTCAGGAAATATGTCCTGTTGGACTAGAGATTTTTAAGATCTCGAGCCATTTGGAGCACTGATTGTGGATGTTTTGTGAAAGCAGGCAATATGAAATATCAGGAATTTTGGAATTATGTGTGTGCATCCCAAGAGCTGACTCTCCTAACAACCACAGAAATCCCCTGCTGCCTATCAAGCCAGGGGAACAAAACATCAGATTTACAAAAAGCCCAAAGGACAAAAACAAAGGGTAGCATGAAGAATAGTTTGAGATGTTGATAACACAGAAATTGAGCAATTGTTTTGACTACTCGTGCCTGCAGGTTCCAGCTGTATTAATAATTTGGTTCTGTCTCTCAGATTTGCTAACAGAGGCAACTGTTCATGTTTGCTGGATATACCAAAGGAATAGAAATTAAAGTTATTACCTCAATCTCACTGTCAGCAGTAGGGGAAGGATCGTTGCTTCTTTTTGACCGGGCTCGTACCTTGCCATCTGACCCTCTGTGATGTCTGTCTGTCTCTATTTCTTTGGCTGGTGTTGTGGAATAGTCCCCTAGGAGGAGAAAGAAATTCCATTGTAAACTTAAATTTTGCACTGTGTCACTGTAATTAGAGCATGAAACCTTTTATTGAAAAGCAACAGAAACACTATGAGAAAATCTTATTCTTTTCACAATAAAGCTAACAGTGTTAGAGAAAGAAGTTTTAACTCCTAAGATTTGTTAAAATAATTTCAAAAATCACCAAAACCGCATATAAGATCTTAAAAAGGACATGTCACTTCAAAAAACGTTATCAAAATTTTCATTGGAAAGAAAAAAAATTTGGAGTTTTATTCCCCCCCATTCTTCTCAAAGACAGAAATTAGAAAGGCAATAGAAACAGAATCCAAGACCAATTACAATTCTGAAATATTTTTTAAAATCTTTTTGGTTATGGATATCTTAAAATTTGATGAATGCTAATAATTAAAAATATACTTCAAACATCAACTTGTATTTAAAAATACTGAACTAACCTGTTGAGCCTTACCCCATTTCTCAGAGGACAGTATTTTAGAAATAACTGTGAAGACACAGTTAAAAGTAAACTTCCTATGTATAAAGTATCTGTTTTGATTGGCTTGATTTTCACAGACCTGTCTGGGTTTCACTCACCTTACATTACAAATCCTTTTCAAACATATTTTTCTTTACACCTTGCTAAGCTGTGGCCTCTGCAACTTCCTAGAATAACCACACTCTTCTCCAGAGAAGCTGGGATTGTGCCTAAGAAGCATTTTGAGATCATCCTTTCTCAAAAAGGCTGAGATAAGATCTAAGGAATGGAAAATCCTCCAACTGCTTTCAGAGCAGTCTGTGATCACTTCTTTTTAAAAAACAATACTAGTTTATTTTTCTTCTAGAGCAACCACAGATGTTCAGATTTGTTTCTTAGTAAGTCAGCCGACCTTCAGTGGGTGTGTACTGTGATCATCCACAAATTGTGTGGTGTCTTATATAAATGTTATTGCACGCCAATGAAAACTGGTTGGGAAGTGATAGCTGAAGATTGCTCTTCAACAGGACACTGGGGGATCATAATCCACCAGGAATTCCATAAACTACTTAGGCACTGAAACTTTTAAAATTAGGCATTCAAAGAGAGGGTATTTTTTGGTGTGGAATTCATCTTGAACTTTCATATCAGACACACAGTTTGTCTAGATTGTTTTAAAGAGAGAGACTTTCTCTCTATGTAGTTGTTTATGAATGCACAATATTTCATGTTGTTGACGTGACATGACATGACCTTGACAAAGATTGGGCTAGAAAGTCATCAGACATTAAGGAAACTGAGACTTTTTTAGACCATGGCTGTTTGCTTTGAATTCACTGCTATCCATGCCACCTCTTAGTACTGATCTGGAGTTCATATGTTATTATCTTATCTTTCTGTACTACCCTAGAGGAGATCAAACCTCAAACACTCATGAAAACAACACAGGATGGTTTTAGAGAGCTTGGATATTCCAATCCCTTCCCAAAGCCCTGTGTAAGAACCATTTAGTGCTAGAAAATCTGAGCTACCAAAACTCCAACGAGGAGATGATGGTGTTTATGTGTGCAGAAGGCTGGGAACACAAGAGAGGCACCTACCAGAGAGGGACTCTGTGCTCTGGCTGGTGATGCTGTGGGAATTCTCCTGCAGGGAGTAGGTGGAGGTGGGGATGGCCGAGGGGCTGATGCTGTTGGCAGACACGTATGGGGAGTTGTAGGACGAGCTGTAATACTGGGAGTACTGGCTCTGAGGGAAGCTGGGATACGAGGAATACTCCTTGGAGGGGAAAAAAAAAAAGAGACATCTAACTCACACGGATCTGGTTTTATCTTACAAACAAGTAGGCCACCACAAAAGCTCTGTTACTTGTGTTATTCCTGAGTCATGGCTCAGGAATATTTCACTGAAGAACTCCATTCACTTAGGAAATTACATTTCTGCTTCTCCCAAATATACTCTTATTTTAATATGATAGACTAACCAACAAGAGGTCAGAAATCTGGCAACTTCCGGGGTTTTTTACAGGATTTGAGTTATCAGTGCTGACACATTTTGTATTACAGAGTTTAACAATTTTCTGTGAGAGTGAAGTAGGGTGGTTTTCCGAAAAGGGCCATGATGGAACACGTAATCTTTGTAAACAACAAAATACCTAAGAAATTGCAAGAACAGAATAAATAACTGGGTGAGGGAAGCAGCAAAACAGGCTCCATTTTCCCACAATCAGCAACATCATCTGATCCGTTCTTAGGCTAAAAAAATGAAAAGAAAGTAGCAATTTTTCCTTCACCAATGCTCACGACAGTCTGCCCAACTACCTCAGCAATAAATAAATGCCTGAGTGATCTTGCCTACCTACCGAAAAATGAACTAAAACTATGAGGGGCGAGTGACCTTGGGGAGCTGAGGTATCACAAAACTCTTTATCTTGATTTTAAGGCTCCCAAAGAAACCCCATACCATTATCCTTGCATTTTTGGTGGATGTATTGTGAAAAGCAGGACACTGGAAAACTTTATAAAATGTATCTGAACAATCAAAGTATAAAAGATTTAATTTGGTTTTTTTTTGTTTTAATTGCAACTCTAGTCCTTGTCCACTGAATTTGATTTTCCAGACGGAGAACTGAGTTCATGCTCTGTTCATGTCTTTGGGCAGAAGGCTTTTATTTCCTCAGAAATTATAATTAGTCTCTGTATTAAATAAAATTAAAGAATAAATAGTCTTTAGAAAGACTAAATGCACTTTCCTCCTTAACAGCTTACATCTTCGTCTGTGACAGCTATTTCATTAACTTTCAGTCACCAGGGAACTCTCAAGAGCAAAGACTCAAATTGTCATAAGAACAATTAGACTGAAAAAGAAATGAGATAATTTCATTGTTTTCTTCTACAGAAAATGACAAAATAATGAAAAAAAAACCAGCTTTCCCCCCCTGTTTAGGTAACCCTCCTACTTCAATCAAATGCACTTCTATCAGTAGTGCTGATGTTTTAAGCCCAAACTGAAGCAACAAAGAAATTGCCCACTGTTGCCATTAAAAATACAAGTCAACAATCACCCTACAAACAAAGAACTGAAATTCCTGGCCAACCAAAATACATTTCCTGGGAGAGTGTACTCATTTGTTTGGTCCAAACAAGAAGAGCCATTTGCTACTGAAAAACATCTGTCTTGTGTTTTATTTATAGCCACATTTACCAGGGTATGTGAGGCATGGAGCCCACGGACAGGTGTGCTCCCCAAGGGGGGAGTGCACACACAGCTCAGAGGGCTCCACATCCACCAGGGCCTGCCAAGGCTGCTCTCACATTGTTCACATTCCCTGCACGGTGCCAAGGCAGCAGACAGGATTCCAGAAGCCATCCCCTCTGGAGGGGATGCACAACATATCTGAAAGTTGTAAGACGGCAGAAGAATGAGGAAACTCTTGGCACTGCTACAGCAGCAGGTCAGAGACTGCCAGGGCACTCCTGCAAGGACTGCACCCTGAGCCTGAGCACTGACACATCTCAGTATCCTGAACTCCAGCAAACAGGCCCAAGGAGCAGAGCAGAATGGTGCTCAGCAAAACACAAAGCAACTCCTTCCTTAAATATATGAGAACACTAAAATAATCTCTCTGATCTACAGATCTCCCAAGTGGCTCAAAGTAAGTGACGAGGGTGCCAGCAATAGATGCTGAATCATACCTGATGCACAGCACTGAATCCTGCAGAATTTGTCAGGCCATTGGCTCCCTGGTAAATCCCTGTTGTGCCTGAGGGAAAGAATATCACAGCCATAAGATCCACCAGCAATCAAAGTAACAGGGTATGTTAATTCAAATAATTTCCAACAGGAAGTACCAGCTCACTACAAGAAAGTATAGCAGAAATCTGAGGCTGTAAAAACTTTGGGGTTTACTGACAGAAAGGCATTCATTACATACACTGAAACATTGATTATTGGGCTGGGAAACAGAGCTGGAACACAAGGATTCAGCCCAGATTTAAAATTCAGTTACTTCCTTTTACAATAAGTAACAGAATAGTGTTTTTTATCTTCTCCTCCTGGAGGAAAATCCCTCACATTACATACACATCCTCCCATGTGCTGTTCCATGCATGGGTATTCTGCCATCTGTCCTAATTGATCAGGTACCCAGGAGTTTTCTGAAGAAAAATTTGCTCCCTGGTGTTGATATTCCCAATGTGAGAACAATATTGCTGAGATTTCTGGAACAGCAAAGAGCAAAGATATTTCTTCATCTTCTTTCAGGGATATTAGGAGAGAAAGGATGGACACGGTTCTGTCCCAAGTGAAGCAGCTGATGTTCAGCCAGGCTCCTCCAGCTGGAGATTTTGTTTGGAGAAGTCAATGTTCAGATTAGATCTAAAGGAATGGTTTCTTTGCCTCCCATCAGGCCAGTGGTAACAGGGCCATAAGCTCTCCTCCCCTCTCAAGTTCTAGCCTTGATTTAACCCCACTCGATGCTGGTTTTGATTTCAGTATTTTCCATTTCACATGGTATCTGAAGGAGGGATGATTTTGGTGCTGCCTGGCTGCACTGGGCTCCTCTTGGTTTCACTCTGCCACCTCCATGTACCATCAGACTGAGCCCTAATCAGGCCTTTGGCCTTTTTTCCTCATCTGGTTCTCACCATGTGAATGGCTTTGAGCAGTGCTGCTTTCACCATGTGACACTCTGCACGTCTTCATGTGGCAACCATACTCCCAAGTTCCACTTGCTTGTTTTTATTTTAGGACATCAGATTAGCTGGGGAATGGACAGCTGAACAAACTCCACTCTGCCAAGTGCAGCTACAAAGCACAAGCACTGAAGAATAAATCTCAAGCCAAAAAAAAACCAAGAGAGAAGACTCTGCCCTCCAGAACTAATTTGTTGCCACGTGGTCTTTAAAAAGAAAATAGCAGGCAGGAAGAAAACAGAGTGCAGGTGACTGCCAGGTACCTTGGGTGTCCCCAAGGCCCAGAATGTGCTGGCTGGGAGCTGAGCCAGTGCAGGTGGGCTTGGGTGATGCCTCCTCCTGCCATTCCTGCCTTGGATCAGTGTCCAATCCCCCCTGCTTCCAACAGCCCATATGGGGAGACTGCCCAAGACAGCAACACATTCAGCCCCTGGCATTTCCCCACTTCCCACCCGAGATAGGCTTCTGCAGATTTTCCAAAAGTCACAGGTATGCAGCAGTGTGGATATATAACAGCATTTCTCACCACTGTGAAGGAGAGTAATAGAGCCCCAGTGCTTACAGGCAAAAACAACTTTCACAGAAGACAAAACAGCTCTTGTACACCAGAGCTTGAAACAATACAGGGGGGAATTTTTGATTTTCCTAAACTGTCATTTAGAAACAATCCATCATCCTTTATTAAAGCTGTCAAGAGGGGGATGAGTTACCTCGAGGGACTCACGCTTTATCTGTAAATTGTGATGAGAACACGTTTATTGCTGTGCTACCTGCACATGATACTGCAGCTTCCTGCTTTGCAGTCAGAGACAGTGAGGAAAAGGAGGGATGTGCACAGCTGGGTTAAAGTTATTCCGAACTTTGTGGCAGCTGTGAAGAGTGAGTGTGTCTGTGCACACACAGGTAAGTGAGCAAGGAGAAGAGGGCAGGAGTGTGGGGATGAGAGGATGGGAATGACTCCACAGCTTCCCCCTGTGCATTGTGACTGGCCCCACTGGGGTGGATTTTATGCTGGGGTTTTGTAAAATATATTTTTGCCACTTCGGCTGAGCTACCCAAGTTCAGGTGTCCCTACAGGCCACTGCAGGCTGGCTCCCTCTGCCCAAGGGACTTTCCAAATGAAGGACAGATTTTTTTTTGCCTACATACTTAAATACTTGTGAAAGTGCTGAAGACTGGTAGTCCCTATAAACTGAAGTTCAACCTGGCAACTCAGGCTTTTCTCTTCTCCTGTCATTGTATCCCACTGTATCCTGACCAAGGAGGACTACCACCTCAGCACTGTTTGTCTCAACTGAGATCAAACACAACCCTTTTCCTTGCCCTCCAGCAGTGCATTCAGAGGTTTGAGCCCCCTCCCTGCAGTACACCTTGAGAGCTGCTAAGCTCAGTATGTCCTGGCAGCTCAGTGTTACAGCAGAATAATTACAGATAAGGACACTGGGGACAACCAAAGTCAGTAAACACTTGGAATTTCTTCCTAGCTGAACAAGGATGAAAAGCTGGGAGACAAAAAAAAAAAAGAAAAATCAATTATCTGGATCTAGATTCAGATTTATCAATACTTGTCTTGGGAACTATTATAGTTCAGACCCTGTTCCACTTGACAGGTCAGACTGGAGAGACCATGTTTTCAATGATGCACCCTCAGTTCAAATGGTAGGAAAACAAACAAGTGCCACAGGCAATGGAGACAAAGATAAGCCCTCTCTCTCCATAAACAGAGAATGAGCTCTGCTGGTCACAATTTCTGTGAGCAGCCTTGTAGAGTTCAGCAGTTCAGAACACATACCAGAACCAGCCCCAAATGTTTGCTTTTCCTCCTTAAGCTGTTGGTAGGAAATAAACACTTCCATAACAAAATTAATTCTGCCAGGTGCAATTTCAGTTTTGCATCAGTAAATTTTACACTCGAGAAACTGGAAAATTATCAACAGATATTGCAGTTTAGCCCTATTTCCCATGTAACCATTTCCTCCCTAAAACACTTTCCCAGGTAATAGCACTTCTTGTAGTATTCAGAGAAAGACTGGAATGAAGTTTGAAAGTGGTGCTATGTGGAATGGGGCACTCCTAGGAAGCCCCTTGGTAAGCAATGTACATGAATGCCTGGCCCCCTCCCATTTCTGCCTATTTCTACAGAATTTTTCCTTTCACATATATTGGCTTTTTTCCATGGACCTCTGAAGACAACAAACACTCTCACACTGAGGCTGGTTTTACATTTGCAATACTGCAGAGGTGGAAGCAAGTGATTTGTTTCCATCTATCTTGGTAGCTCAATGCCAAATAATTGCATTCAAACTCCCTGCAAATCAGAAACAAGCCTAGCATCTCCCCCTTTGGATCTTCTCCATATGGAATATGGTTCACATCTGTGTTCAATCAAGCCAGTTGCTAAATGTCACAATGCCCTCATTCACAGGTAGCTTAAAGAACATTTAGCTCATAATAAAACAATCTGAACTCTGAAGTAGAACAGCTCTTCAGATGTGTGGTACTGTAAGTGTTCCTGTAAAGTATTTCTCTCACAAACACACTCTCATGGAAAGGTGTCCACATGCCAGGCAGAGCCAGTGCCATGATTTTTCCTTGATAAGTAGATGTGGCCCTTCTCTGTGTGAGTGTGCAAGGGCAGCATGTACAGAAAAACTCTTTGTGAGCTGATGAATGTTCTATTCCTCTTCTCAAACAGATGGATTTCATTTGCTATTTTCCCTTCATTCACTTTTTAATTCGAGCATTCCAGAAAAGCCTATGCCATGGTCAATGATAATTTCAATGGTGCGTGATCTGGCCTGTGTTCCTGCAAAAACTTTCATACCAGCTTCTCACCCTCTACATCTGTCTTTCAGTCACTGCAGTATCAGGCTGCATTTCTTCCCCTCCTTGCCAGGTATGAGCAAGGAAAGAAAAGAAAGCAATATTCATGTTTATTTTTAGTGTATTCAGAACTATTTAGTTAATTTTTTCAGCTTATGAATGCACGGAGTGCTGGTGTCTTAGGGAGTGGTGATTATGAAGACAGGATGGGCCTGTGGTGTAGCTCAGATCAAAACCACAGCAAACTTTGAAAATCAGGTTTGTGTGCTTATCTTTCACAGGTCAGAGGGGCCCTGACAACAGGGAGGTGCTCTCCAAGCCTCCTGCACTGCTCAAAAGACAATAAGCTGCTGGATTTAGAAGAACAGATGGCTTGCACTTTCAACATTCAATGAAATACCCAACAGGCAGAGGAGGAGATGGCCAGGTTCAACACAGGTGGGCAGTTTGAGTGTTTATCACAGTGTTTATCACAGCTCTCTGGGCAGCCAGCAGCAGCTGTGAGTCCAGGAACACTGAAAAGATGCAACACTAAGGGTGGCTAGTATGGGCATTTCTGAGCATGTTTGTGTCATGATTTCAAAAAACAGAATGATGAAGCTTAGACAAGCATTTCCTCCAACTTGCAGATGAAACACACAATGGTTCCACAGAGAGCTCTCTCAAAGGGATTATCTGACCATTTAGGACTAATAAAATAAATGCCTGCAGGGGTCAGCTGAATTGCATGGTATTTTACAAGGCTGCACACAATGGCTTGTGCTTTCTGACATCACCAGGCTGTTTTCCTGCAGGAAGCAGTGCTGACTGTGAGTGATGCAGCCAAGGCCCCAGTGCACCTCCCTGCACAGTGTGCATTGCTCTGTGCTATGAACAACATCTGCCCGAGTCCTCACGGCCATTCAGAGAGATTCTTTGCAGTGCTTTAGATCTCTGACAAGCTAATGTTTCCTGCAGTAAATGCTGCCTTCTCCGAGCTGCTACATTTTTAGTGAGAGGTTAAGCACTCCTCAAAATTACCTCCCACCAGCTATACTCTAGTGCCTTGTAAGGTTCCAAATCCTACAACATCTGCCTGCATTTACTGGGCAAGAAGACTCATAAAACCTTGCATGGTTGTCAGCTGTGGAGGCATTTCAAGACTATCTGACCTGTTAAAGGAGAAGAAAAACTCAACCCATATGTACTTTGCAGCAGATTGCTCAACTGTTTGCCATTAGGTGTAATGAACCCTTCCCTAAAAAGT